AGATCATATGTATGAGGTAAACCTGTGTGAGAAAGACGCCAATAATAAAATCATACAAAGGAAACCAACTGTATAAAAAAAGGCAACTGCATCTTTAGAGGGAAGCAGACATCCCAACTCTTTTGTTCTCCGTTGATCTTAATTTTTGAAGCAGACTAAAAGATTCCACTGGGAGAAGGGAGGTCAAGCCTTTTATCATCATTCACCCTCTCCCAAAGGTAGTCAAAGACAGGCTTTGAAAGCTGTGCAGCTTTGTTGTTTATGAGTTCTCATGTGCCCAGTCATTACAGGGAAACAAGTGAGAATACAAGTCCTCTAAGTTTAACTTTCTGGCCAACTTGGAATTTTTGTGATATTAAGTCCAAATCCTTAGTTACTTCTAATTTCCCTTCCCCTTTAAGCCTTCACAGTAGAATCTGATCAAAGAAAGAGAGCTTCCAGAGCTCAAATCTTTGTGCTGCCTATTTCATTCTTCTTTCCAAACTGTCAGGTAGAAATGAACTGCAAATGGTGCACAGAAGGGCACCCAGGATGACCCAAGATCACATATGAAGAAAAGTTAAAAAGACTGGTCATCTCTAGACTGGAACAAAGCCAGCCAAGGGAAGATGTGCTGAACATGCACTGAATCACGTATGGGAACAGGGAATGCTTGTGCGGAGCTTCTCACAGTGTGTGAGTAACTAACCTGTGGAAATTCCTCCCACAGGATGGTTGTGGATGTCAATATTACAAAACGGTTCAAAAGGAATAAGACAAATTAATGGAAGAAAAATCTACCAGGTATTATTGAATATCCAAAGATAAACTGCTGGCTCAGGAAATATTGAGCCTGCATATTAATAGAAACTGGGAGAACTTACCAGAGGAAGAGGCATTATACACTCTCTATCTTTAAGAATACCCAAGCAACCTTTGTCAGAAGTAAGTTATTGGGCTCTGACCCAGAGCAGCTGCTCTGTGATCCTGATACCCTCTTTGATTGTCCTTGCAATTCCTCGAGGTGATAAAAATATTATAGTAAATTTGAGACAGCTAAGGAGATTTTTGCTTTTCATCTCTCTTTGGCTTTGCAGAAAATATGTCCCAGCATGGCTAGAGGGTCCTGTCTCTTATTTCTACCCCGTCATGGATGTTGTGAACTTACTTTTGCTTCAAGTGTTCTTTATAGAGCAAAAGAACTAAGGTTATGTGGAAGAGACTGTGCTGAGTATATGCTGGTTACACTTGCAGTTCCTGTCCCAGAGGATTTTTCTCCCCAAGCCTGCAATCCCTGCTCTCAGCACCATTCTTTATCCCTGAGCTTTGTGCTCTTTTGCCTTTGTTTAGCAAGGTCACGCTGTGGAGGGTGTGGAGAGCAGCACCTGAGCAGGAACAACACCGCTGAGCATCCAGATAGATAGTAACTTACCAGGTAATCAAGCAAAAAATGACAGATGCCACCCTATCATCAATGATGTGATTACAATCTAGAAAATCAAAACTGCAAACAGACCCCACCAAAGATCCTACTTTGCAAAGTCTTGCTGCCTCCTGGGAGAGGAATGGAAGAGGCTTTAGTATTAGGTGTCAGAAAGGTGCTGCTGAGTCCATGTCCCAGGTATGGCCCCTTTCATTTCATGTTTTTTGAGCAGTTTGTCCTGCATAAGAGGAGTCAAAAATTCAGAGAGCTTTCTGAGGCTGAGTCCAGGTTGCTTTTGAAAATCTGGTGAGTTCACTTACAGGAAAGGCTCCTGGGGGAAAAGCAACCGGCTCTGCATCCCATTTGAATCCTGGAACCAGGCATTCTTCCCTGTCACATTTCTTAATATTTTCCATTTAGATTGTAAGCCCATCTCTCCCATACGTTGTCCAGTGTCAACAATGTACAATGAGATCTTGGCCCAGCACATTGTTATACACACTGGACAGAACACAGGTAATACATTAACAGTAATGACAAACAGTAAATATACACGATTACTTCACAGTGTAACGTGCCTCTTTCTCATAGTTCTCCATTGCATGTTTGTTTCTTTCTTGGGATCTTAAGGACTACATTGACAGGAGAGGCATGTGGGTGGAGGATACGACCATATGCCATGGGAAGGCATTTGAGCTGGTACTGTATAGCCTTGCCTGGATACTGAAAGGGGCAAAGCCAAAGCAAGCAGATCCCTGAAGACCAACATATACTGCTTTGTAACTCTCTTTACCAGCCTACACGGAGAATTGGGTTCCTCGAGTAACTTGGCTTTGCTTGCACACAGAGTTGGCCAGTGTTCAGAGCTGTGGATGCATTTGGGGACATAAGCGGCACGAGATCAGTAGCACTGCCAGCTGAGAGCCACAGAAACACCATGCACACCTACCACTGTGAGTTAGTAGACATATATTCACCGTATCCTGCAGACACAAGGCCTGCATAGCATCCTTCAAACTTCCAGATGGATGAGGCTTGAGGGGGTGCAAGCCATCAGCTGAGACGTGCCCTAGGTAGCTTCTATCACTAAGTAAGTCTACTGCCTGTGGACAGCAGGGATAGTTTCTGCATTAACCGGTCTCTGTTGTTGCTTGCCTCCCAGGAAAAACATGAAAAGACCAGAGAAGACTGAAATTGTTCCTGGTGCTTGTTCCACAGAGTATATCAGAGAATAAAAAGGAAATGGACAGGCTGAGAATAATCCATCATCACTGCAGTTTGAGCCTTGGCTTACAGTATCACAGCGCACTGATCCTCTGGCCCAATATACTGTTTCTAACTACTGCCACTAGCCCTTCATCCCAAAGAAAGCGGAATGGGCATGATAGAGATGAGAAACTTTGGGATTTGCTTTAATTCATGTTACTGTGAGTCTAGACATTTCCCATCTATCTCCAGGTCATTCCTCCATCGTGCCAAATTGTTGTTGTCAGAGAGGAGTTTTAAACTCCAGCTTTAAAACACAGGTTTAGATTATGAATTATGTTTCCGAAACACACAAAAAATCAGCCCTTTTAAGTATTTGGACAAGGGACTGCCTTTGAAAGTTCCAGATCCTACAGGGAACGCTGGGGCTGATTCAGCAGGGCCAAAACTCAGTCTGTCCCCCCTCCCGCACAGGTCCCCTCCCAGCTCACGCTACCGGCATTGCCTCTGAATCAGCTGCTACCTGGGCTGCCTTTCTTATCTGCTGCCTTTCTGGTCCTACCCTGTCTGTCCTCCCTTATCTTTCCAGAGATAACATATACTCTATACAACGGCATTAGTACAGCCAATTAACATTAACTGATGCAGCAACAAAAAGCTACAAAAGGTAGCTGGAGATAAGCAAGGAAGCAACAAACACAAGGAGGCAGGAGCCTCGGTGGACGCGACAGCATCGGGAAGCATCAGGGTGGGATGTGGGAAGCCCAAGGCAGCTCCGGGATCACTGCCTCTCCGGCTGGCGCTGCGCGGCTGCACGGAGGGCGAAGCGCGCTTCCCA